AGAATGTTTTCCAAAGCTGTTGGGAAGGCTTTTATTCTTAACTGTGGATTGCTTCTTGCTTTGTGACATTTGTCTGATTTGTAACTGTTATACTAGTTTGTTTGTATCCTTTAACTGGGGAATAAATGTGTAGTGTATGCCTATGAACACTAGCATGTACTTTGTCACTGTTGAGCTACACTGCAGCAACAAAACCACTGATTTTTTTTTTTCCCCTCTTTTCAAAGCAATGCCAATTACAGAGCTATTTTTTTTCAGTATTCAAACTGATCTCTACCTTTTAGTGATTAGGTAATTTAGCTTGCAAACCTACACAGAAAGGGTATCACTGGCACTCAATACTTAAAAATAACCTGGTAACCTGAAATAGCACTGTTTTGTATTAAAAGAAGTCCACTGAAACTCAGTAAACTGGGTTTGGAAGAGAACAGATATAGACCAGTATAAAAGTATGCCAAAGAAAAGAGAGGTGAAAGCATGAGATGATTTTAGATTGGTGGGGCTCACATAACACCATGGTAAGAATCATGTCACCTTTGTATTAGAAATTGTTAGGCTCATCCACAGTCTGGAAGCCTAGAAAGTGAGGATATCATAAATAATAAAGTAATCGAAGGCATATGAGAGAGAAAAGTAACCCTTTGCAGTAAAACTATAGAAAAGGAAACTTAAAGGATTGATGGTGTAATTCAGGCAGAGCAAATGCTGTAGAAACCGCTATAGATCTGAGCCAAAATTCTCTTTACCTTTATTTACAGTCATCTTCAATCAGCTTTGAAAAACTGTCATCAAATTTGTTAGCAATATTAATTCAAATATAAAGTCTGTTTATAAATACAGAAGAATATATATTTATTTTGCTTTCAGCACATAACTTGAAAACATCTGGGTGTATGTTCTTGCAAATGATTTATTTCAGGCTTTCATCCAACACTGCCTAAATGTACAGTAGTAAATGAAATAACAAATACGAAACAGTTAAGAGTCAGGCTGGCTGATGGAGAGTAATAACAAACAAGTACATTCCAGGTGGTTTGGTTCTGAGATACTTCATGAAGGAAAGGGATTGCATGCACTGAACGATGGTGATGATTCAAATAGCTCACCCTTGTTCTTTTTTTCACAATACTCGAATTGGTATGTAGATGAAAAGAAGATATGTTACATTTCAAGGAATGTGGCATAAAACTACTTGGGTGGGTAGGAGGTTCAAGAGAATTGGGGATGGCAGGAAAGAATCCACTAAATACTAGTTAGAAATACTAGAGCTTGTTACCAAGCAGTTACCGGAGTACTACAGCAACGCTAAGAGTGGATAATACGCTTCTTTTTTTCTCTAGAGTAACCCTTGTATGTTGTTATGAAAACGCTTCTGAAGCTGTATGCGTGCAGTGCCCCGTTGGCACTGTTAGTTCCACCACGGCCAGTCTGGGGACCAAGAGCCCAGTTGGTGTGACACCCTGCTGGGGTTTCTCTCTCCTGCCTTGCAGAGTGCCCAATTTGACCACTGCAGAAAGTGCCAGGTGTTAATGCCCCTTTGCTGCAACCTGTACTTGTTGCAGCAACTGGTTGTTTCAAAAAAGCTCTGGTATTTCAGGTTAGCACTTAGTAGTTTTTTACTTGCTGTCCCCGACTCTTCCTTTATAGTCTCTGGTAAGAGACTATATGTGAAGATAGTCTAAAAGCATTTACATTCTGGAAGAAAATAAAATACTAGGAAATGTGCATTTTGAAGAAATAATGGACAGGCCCATCTGGCCTCTTTGCGCTTCCTGTGCTGCATGTTTTGGAATGGTGGGTTTTGTTTATTTGTGTTTGTATGTGGATGTGCAGGTATGTGAAGGGACAGGTGTAGGTAGATTAAGATAGGCGCTCTCACACACAGTTATCAGTATTTTGTTATGTTGCTGTTCTTCAGGAAGGTTAAACCTTTATTTTGAATGGCTTTAGTTTGAATCGTCATTGGTAGCTAGCATATTTTATGAACTTTAATCTGTATTTTCATATAATCTCCCTTCAGCTAGGACTGGTAGAGTCTGGCTCAAAGTGAATTTCCAGATACAATAACTTTAGAGCTTGTTTAGTTCAGTCTATTGTAGTCTTCCTGTTAGAAAATATGACAGAATCTATGATCTAATCATAGTATGTCAGTGGCTAGTAGGCTACTAGTTCAGTCATGACATTTCTTATTTACTTTCTCTCATAAGATTGTGGGCATTTACTTTCATTACAGCCTGTGAAGTTGCAGTAAAATGAAATCTCTGTCAGGTGTGATTGAATGTGCAGAGACAGAACTGTCCAAAACCAAAAAGGATAAAACATTGATTTTCTCCTTTAATACTCTTTTCTCTTTTCTGAAAGAAAAGATGTTCCTCAGTGTGATCGGTTATGTGATGGTACAGCAAATGCAGTTCTTGGTCCAATTTTCAAGCGCGTCCACGAGTAACATCACTTGTAACTGTGGTATCCAGCATCTCTGCAAAACAGTATCAGCTGTTACAGAAGGGGCTATATGTAGTATTTTACCTCAGTAAACTCTTGAAATGGCATATGGACGCTGAAATATGCTGTCCCTTGCTTGAGTGAATATTCTGTATTTGGAGGCATTTGGAAGTCTCGGATTACCAAATACTGATATAATTTTATATAAATCTTAACACTTAAAGGTGCTTTGGATAGGATTTTCTTTTGGAAGTGACAGTCATTGTCTGTAGGTTCTTCCTAGCATGTACACAGTAAGGTGAATATTCATCTTCATTTATAAACATTAGAAATGTCATTTCTGAGGAAAATATTGAGAACTGTGTAATATGAGTCTGCCCTAAATTTCTTAAGGAAATTTCACTTGTGGAATAATAACCAATATATTGTCTTGGATATTTACAAAGATAGCCACAAAGAAATCTTCTTCTTTGTTTGTATTTGTGAACATATATGATTTTCCTAGTTTTTAAGGCATGATTAAATTGTGTAGGAAATAAAGTAAACATTGACATGGAAACCATTTATCTTATGCCCTGTGCTTAGTAAGTATTGACTGTTCAGCTTGTTAAGCTGAAACATCATTAATGAGCATGTGCCATGTTAATTCTGGACATTTTCAAATACAGTATCTTCTTTACTGTTATTACTACTTGTTGGACATAATGTGTTGGGATGCCCCAAATCACCTTAGGTCCAGACCTATTGTACTTGTAGGTAGAGGATGTTAGTATACTGTGAGTTGGAGAGGAAAGGGAGCAATAAATTTGTAGCTGTTGTGAATATAAATAACAAAATTATCCTTAACATTGATCATGTCTGTCTGTGACATTAGGTGACATTCTATCATGATGTATTTCAGTGAATTTCTTCGTGATAAATGAATCTGAGGAAAGGCAGAACTAGAGAGAAATTTAGGATCTTGGGGAACAGCTTAAGGGAATTCAAATATTTCTCTTCTTTGAGAGAACAAGCAATGTAATGGGAGTGATGAAGGTATTTGTGCAAAGAAGTGGCGAGTAAGTGTAATGGGTTTACACGTCCAGGTGCTGGCAGGGGGCCTGCAGGGGCCTCCTCTGTGAGGAGCGGGCGGGTTCCCAGACACAGCTGGTTCCCGCTGGTTCTGGACGGCTCTGCAACAGCCCCACTGCAGCGCACAGCCGAGCCCAGCAGTGAAGGTGGTCGTGCCTGTGTAAAAACCTGCTTAAGAAAGGGCAAAATGTTGCACAGCAGTGAGGGGTGAGGGGATTAAGTGCAAGAAACAGCCCTGGGAGCACCAGGGCCAGAGAAGGAGGAGGGGAGGAGATGCTCCAGATGCCGGAGCAGGGGTTCCCCTGCAGCCTGTGGAGAAGACCTGCACTGGAGCAGGTTTATCCTGAAGGACTGTAGCCTGCAGGGGGGACCCCCGCTGGAGCAGGTGAAAAGTGTGAGGAGGAATGAGTGGCAGAGAGGAGCTGTTATGGACTGACTGCAACCCCCATTCCCTCCCATCCCTGCTGCATGGCTCGGGGTGTGGAGGTGGGCATAGAGGAGCTGGGAATGAAGGCGTGAAGTTGGGCCTGAGAAGAAGGGGGAGGAGGGAGAGGTGTTTTCTTTTGTCTTTGTTTTTCACCATCCAACTCTATTTTAACTGGCAATAAATTAAATTAATCTTCCTCGAGTGTTTTGCCCATGACAGTAATTGGTGAGCGATCTCCCTGTCTTCATCTCAACCCATGAGCTTGTCATCTTATTCTCTCCCCATCCTGTTGAGGAGGGTGAGTGAGAGAGTGGCTGGGTGGGTGTCTGGCAGCCACCACAGCAAGAAATTGAGATTAACCTCCTTTGGAAAAGGAGGATACCTTCTAGACTGGATGGAGGCAAGATCATGGGAAGTGGTTGGTTGGTTGAGGTTTTTTTTTAATCCAGGGATGTTCTGTTACATTTGTAGTTTTTAGTTCGGTAGTTTGTGTAACCTGTTGACCCCGAGACTGTAGATTTGGAGTTCTAATCTATAAATTCAACTGTTTTCCATTACTTTTGATAAGTTTTTTGTATTTGAGTGCTCCAGACTGCTTTGGATATTTCAACAAAAATATCTGAGGAATTGTAGCTTAAATTTTAGTAACTGAGTTTCAGTTACTTGTAATTGAAGTCCGTTATAGTGGGTACTTGGCTTCATCCCCAGTCATCAGTCCTAACAGCAAGATACAGGTTTAAGCTAGACTTACAGTCTTAACAGAAAAAAAATTCAAACATGTTGCTGCTTAAAAATTTGGAACTCTTTCATTCACCATGAATACAAAGTTATTTCAGTTTTCATTCTTCTGATTATCTAGTAATGCTAGTGTGTACAAATAGTATGGTAAGTTATGTTCCCTGTAAGATTTCTGAAGATGCTTGAAGTATTGGGTGCCAGTCCCTGTTCCCTGCCCCCCCATTAGATGTAAATACAGTATCTGTGCAAACAGTGTTATTTTTGTTATTCTTTCTAGCTTTCCTCAGTCTATAGACACCCATGTTCATTTTATCTAATGCAGGAGGCATTAAAAGAAAACAACAAAAGAAGAGAAATGGAGGAGAAAACGAAGAGAGCCAAATTGGCAAAAGAGAAGGCTGAACGAGAGAAACTGGAGCGACAGAAGAAGAAGCAGCAGTTGATTGATATGAACAAAGGTAAGGCATCACTTTTAGTGGAGAGATTTGTTAAAAGAAAAAGAAAGTAAGGAGTAACAAACTGAAGACTATTCCTGATCAATATGAAAAAATACTTGCTGTCTGTTTTGAAAGCTGAAAAAAAAAGTTAACTTTTTCAGTGAAAATTCTGTTATATTTTAGCCTATCTGATCCTGTAATTCCATATCTGCCACTTAATATGTGTAATGTTCCTTTCACAGTGTTTTGTTGTGAATTATTGGCTTGTTTTCATTTGTAGCAGTTAATTGATTTTTTTTTAATATGGATTTACTTCCAAGAAGTAGTATCTTACTTGCTTTGTTGTTAATTTCATTCTGTAAACATCTCTATAATCAAGGTAGTGTGGCAATTAACGTCTTTCTTTTTGGGCTTAGAGGCTCCATGTTATAACGGATGTTCTCCCAACAGTCCTATTAGGAGCTGGAAAATCTGGCTGAGCTTGGAGCCTAAGTACCGAGTGACATTTCAGCATGATAAAAAGCAATATGTTGAGCTTGTCAGCTGTGAGAATGTTGTATTTTGCATGACGCCACCCTAAGAGAGGGGAAAGTAAGAAAGCAGGAGGAATGGGGTGGTCCTGATATTGATGCTGTGCAGATTTCCAGAAGGTTGTAAAATACAAGCTTTATTCTATACCTCTTTGACTCCAGAGGGCGAGTAGTGGTGGTAAAACTGTACATTGGATTGTGCAGGAGATTACTTGAGGCTGTAATTTTTTGTTCAGTTTCCATGAGTTTGTGTTAATCTGCTAATCTGACCCAGCTGTAAAATATGTGTCCTTTTTATCCACTGAGCAGACTAACAGGTACATACTCATGGCAAACTGGTGTTTGGTTTTTGGTTATGATGAACTTGATGGAAGATGCGATGATGTATTAACCTTGTGTAAGGATGATGTTGCAGTAAACCATATAATTACAACAAACTAACATGGTGCTGTGCTGGAGATTGAGCGAATGGGGGTAAGTTTAGAAATAACACTGCCTTTTAAGGGCATATATACAGCACCTGTAAAGTCAATTTATACAAGGATGAAAAATACTGAAGAAATACTAGACCAGGCAAACGAACCCACTCCAATATTTCAGAGGATGACTGTGGAGGTGAATACAGAGCCATAAAGAGACAAGGTACTGGTCAGAATTTCCATCACTGATAATGCATTAGTGCAGAAATATTGTCACGTAATACTTACGATACTGTTTGGTGTCGCTTATATTTAGAATGCCAGTATTTCTGGCATATCGCTAAATTTCCCATCACTAGTGAAAAATCTATGATTCGTGTGTGCACCTCCAGCCCTCAAGGACTGTTAGCCAGCCAGCCTTCCCTTCCTGTTTGGCAACCGCATTTCTCTAGAACCTGCAGTTACACTCTTATCAATATATCTTACAAATATATCATCTATTTAAACATTACTTTGTCAGACTGAATCATATTTACAATGATTTCAGCAAGCTGTGCTGTTTTATCTTTATCGACATGTGTACAAGTGTCAACTTTGTGCCTTTTTTCTGCTCAGAAATTTCACAGTTTAAATTTGGTAAAAAAGGGCAACCCGTATATATATCTGCAAAAACAAAGAAGCGGACAAAGTGAGAACAAGTTTTATTTACAAGTGAAAAATCTTTCTTCTGTGATCACTTTATCCGTACTATTATATTTTAAGAAATCATAAATTAGATTTGCTATTGTATTTGCTGATTGTGATAAATTGGTTTTCCCAATAATTCATTCTTTGCATTCTGATTTTTAAAAATGAATTTATATTAATGTACTGTAATTTGAATACCATGATAGAAAACAAATTATTTATGTGGGAATCTTTTAAAACTTCTCGTGTGTTTGTGTACATCACTTTGCCACAAAGCCTCAGAGCTTTGGTTTCTGTTGTTTTTGAAGTGACTTCCCTGGGGCTGGTTTGGAGCATTTCTGCAGTGGTACCACAAATAATAGTATTTTTGGGCCTTGCTTGAAGTGGTAGTGACACTGCATGGAATATACTGTAGCATAACTTTTAGTGAGCAACCTTGTTGCTTTGTATAGATGAACTTTGTAAGCATAAACTTAAATTTCATACAATATAAAGATTCTTCTAATAATTTCAGTTTAACTATTATAAAAATATAAAATTTAAATACAGCTGATGCATAAATACATTTTCTATGTTTTGTGAAGTTAAGCTCATGGAGATGTCCAGTGAGACTTTTCTAATCCATTCTTTCAGCATTTGACTAATCTTTCTTTAATATGTCACCTGACAAAAAAAAAGTCCTTTGTAATATGGACAGGCACTTTTCTGTGAGTGGGTTAAGACCAACCTAAAAATCCCATCATCACCACTTAGATACTATTGTCAGTGAATTGGTCTGTTTAAAGGCTGTGGCTAACAGATCAAAGTTACACCTTCTTAAATTGCTTCAGCTCAGTCAGTGACAGCATGCCTGTCTACATTCATTAATTTTTTAAGCAGATGAGTAGACCATGCTTAGCAGTGTCGTAGACTGATAGCATTTTGCTTTTCATCATGAAAGACTTTTCCTATCAACAGGTACAACTAAAGTTGAATTTTGCATTATATTTCTTTTTTACTGGAACTGCAAATACATTAACAACTGTACATGGCCAAATGCACCGAAACTGCTATTTAAATAACTAATGTTTCTAAACCAGTGACACAAAGTTAGCTGAATACTTCTAAAATATTTTTTCCAATATTTAAATATATTGAAATACCCATTTCACATATTACAACTCTATTGCCGTGGTAGGAGGTGGGCGGATACTCAATTCCATGACATTGATATTCAATTAACTATTTCTGCCAAGTAACTATTTTTTTCTTGATGCATCTACTTCTGTATGCTCATTGCTGCTTATATAAATAGTTTGCAAATTTGTCTAAGTGAATGTGACACAGAAGACTTAGAGGAAGGAGGCAGATGTCCTCTCAAGCTGTCATTTTGACAAGGTGATTTTCACCCAAAGGGTATTTCAACCTAACTCTGTTTCAGTTATTTTTCTAGCTATATCTTCAAGAATAAACTTTTAACGCATTGCTACAGCCTTTCAGGTCAGAGCAATATAGGGTTCCTACATTTTCCAGCCTTTTAGTGTGTAGTTCTATAATAAACATTTTTTGCTGTTACCTGGTTACGCAGCTACAACTTCTTTTGTGGTCACTCGAGAATCCAGATTAGACTTGATTAGCATTAATTAAATATTACAATTAATATCTGTTTCTTGATGTAAATGAAGAGCAGAAAACTGCAGTGTGGCCAGAATCAAGGATTGTCCTGTATAATTCCTAGTTATAAAGTAACCTCAGAGTTGCCAAAATTTTAAAGACCAGGTTACTCAGTTTGGTATTTTGTGCTTTGTGTAACTGAGAGGCCATGTAAATGCTGTCTGTAAACTGATATAAATCCTGCTAAACATTCCAAAATGTGTAAAGATGAATGTAAAACTATAGAAAAGCTCTCAACTCCATATGAACTTTGAAGTGATTTACACTGGACAGCGTCATACAAACTTAAGTAAATCTAAATCTTACAACATGTCCACATTTCAAAAATATAAGTTTTTTTGTGCAAAACTGAAAGTGGGCTGATGGGTGACAAAATCAACATATACCTTCTAAAAGAAATTACAATAGGAACTTATCCAACATGTACACTTCTCTTTGCCTCAAGAAAACTTCATTACATTGATATGTATTATTTTCAGTAAATAAGCACAGTAATACGTACAGAAAGGTTAAGTGGTTCTCAGTTAAACAAAAATAAATATTAAATGAGACTAAGATCTTTTGAGCCTGTGGTTTATCTTGAAGTCAGTTCTATTGGAAGTTGTTTCTTCAGTTGTGGTCAATGAATTTGGCATTATTTGGGATAAAATTGTTGATACAGATGAGCTGTTTTGGACAGAAAAGGCTGTGACATGCTCAAGCGGTTTTCAGGAAGATATTTAAACAACCACTTTTATATGGATATTAAGACTGATCAAAAATTACAATTAAAACAATCTTACCAAAATTGTTAGAATTGGTCAAATTTGGCTGACAGAAGTAAGTTTTTATATTGTCATGGAATTCCACTCATTAATGTTTTTCCACGCATTAATGTTTTTCAGAATAAATTTTACGCTGTTCTTAGTGAAAAATTATATTTCATATATTGCTGATTTAAAACTACACCTTAAAACAATTTATAGTGAGACCTGCTGTTTAATATTAAAACCTCCATTTTAAAAATTCTTACTATTAATACAGATTTCCCATTATGTAGTGCCTGAACATCTCTCACTGATCTGTGGCGCAGTCAATCTGCGATGCAGTCAAAGCCATAGCAAGCCGTTCTGGCAGCTGTTGTTCTCTGTTACTTCCAGACAATACTACTGTGGATGCTCAGCTCCACCTCCTCAGCTGGAGCTGTAGGGCGTGGGAATATTTGGTCCTTTCTGGTGTTCTTTTCACTCTGCTATTATTTATGCATCTGTTTGTTATGTTTCCTGGACTAGAAAGGTACTTCTATATGCCTGTTTTCCTGGTGAGGTGTGGAGACGCAGGAAGACCTAAGCGACTTACCTATATGCCTGGAGATCCCAAATTTCACAGTCTTAATCATGAACCATTCTTTCTCATTACAGGAGAGGAATTATGTAGGAAAAGGGCTTAACAGTCCCTTCTCTTTAGCATTCACTAGCTCAGAGAGAGCGAGAACATTCTTTATAGCTGTTTTCCAGCAGTGTTTCCTAGTTTTTGAGGGCTGTAGCAGACTAGGCTATGATGCATTTATACGTAGTCTTTCATGACTTCCATCTGATTTAACATCTGCAAAATTCTTGCAGCATTGCTTCCATGTGCATATCTGAACAAGAGAGAGAAAAAAAGAACTGAAGACAGCTTTCTAGGAGCTGAAAAGCGTATAACAGCAATTCTGATGCAAATGTTATTTAATCAGAAACAGTTTTGCTCTTCA